CAAGACCGAACGCGATAGGGGAACCTCTCATTCAACCGCCCGATCCATCCCGACAAATCTGGAACTACCTCCGGGTGCCAAGCGATGGTTGCAGGGAGCACAAAGAGATTATTATTTCAAAAGGAAGAATAGTTGAAAAGCGGGTAAGGGGAAAATTATTTACGTCAGGTATTTCACCTCTCCAGAAAGGGCATCCTCAGGGCCGGGATGATATCCGAGGTCCTTACTCGGATAAACCTGCTCATCCATCCTCGATCCTTTCCCTCGTCGACGCTCGTGAAAAAAGCTTTTTTGGACCAATGGTGGAGCCTGATTAAACCTCGATACAATCAAGGGTTGTACATCCTGATCAGATGATTGAGGGTAAAAATCTCACCCTCAAATCCTTTGGTGAAATAACGAAGCATCAATACTATCCTCCAAAAAGAAGGGTAGATCTGACAAAACATCACTTGATATCGGTCGCAGAAATCAAGGATAACCGGGTCTATCTCCAGGGGAGGGGCCTCGATAGATTTATCAAGTCCTAGGGTGAATGGGTAGGTGTACACGTGAAGGAAGCCAGCCTTATAGTCAGTTATATTATCGTCGGGACCGGGAATCTCCACCTCCACTGCCTCGCTCCATCGGCAGTCCTTCCTCACCTTGTTAATATCGGTCACGACGCTAACATATTGGGATAGATGCTCGCATCGGCCCCGTGTAGATGAAGTGGCACCGACATTAAAATCCTCTAACACGTCGAGATCAAGTGGGGTACATTGTTCCAAGGAGGGAATCGCTCTGGTATCTTCCTTAGGCGATCGGGATGATGATGCTGCGTCGTTCTGTCGGGGAACCGTCCTAGAGGTCCTAGCCATGTCAATGGTAAAAATCCTTCTATGAAAAGATGAAGGGGTGTCAAATACAAAAATTATGACTCATGAGCTTGGAAGTGGGGTGAAAGTGGAATGTATCAAGCAACTGATGCATTTATAGGAACCGCTGGGGAAGCAGAAGGGACGAGCCAATGGTTGTTCATGGGTTTCTCAATTACCGCATCTGACGGTGGCCTTGCACAGTTCTCTGGAACATGGAATTTAATGCACTTAAATGGTTGACGTCACGGCAATGATGACCTCGAGACGACAGTTCAAAATCGTTTCCTATTACTTCATTCTAGGAAACACGGAGACTATCTGTATACGATGAAATCAGATGAGTCTATTTCTTGCCACTAAGGTGCATTCAGGGGGTCATATCAATATCTCGAGGCTGAAGGACTACGATCGAGCTCCCTCCCCCGAGATTCGCCTGAGACCCAAAAAAGGTTCCCAGGATGGGGAATTCCCGAGGCAAGCAGCCATCATCAGCAGGGTCTAGCATCATGCCTCGCCGTCTCATCCCCGTATCTTTACATTTAATGCACTATGTACTATATTGTATTCCCTCTCCTATATAAAGGGAATCTATGCCACTTTATAAAGGGCTGATGTTGCTCCAACTATTCCTCCACAAGATCAATAATATCTCTCTCTCTCTCTCTCTCTCTCTTTCTTCTCTATAAGTTGCTCGTCCTTACTAGCTCGAGGCTACTCTTAGTGTTATTAGTTTTATACTTGTTCTTTATTTATTGCTTGGTATCGGCCATAAAGAGCCTTGTTTAATCATATGTTAACTGTTATCCCATTCCCGATTGCCCCTGATAGCTCGAGATCGAGCTGGATATCGGCCCCGAGGCTTCTTCATCGACCAACTCGAGGCTCGGGTGGCAAGCCCTTGGGTTTGATTATTGCCCCGTTTTAGCTTGTATCTCTTCATTAAACTTCATATTCTTAGCATCAACTGCTCTAACAACTAACATAAAAATAGATTACGTATTTTTAGAATTTCATTTACAAATTTAATTTTTGTTACCATTTTCACAGTAAACAGAAGAGAAGGCCCTGAGGCTCCTCTGTGACCAAAAAGAAGAAGAGCTTAAGGATCTTCGGGCTGAATTGGCCAAAGCTAGGGAAAACGAGACCGAGCTAGATGAGCAGGTAACTGTGATTTTAACAAAGTATGTCCTTCCTGGCTTTACTTTGAAGGCTAATACTTCGATATCTCAGCTGCAGCAGAAGTTGGAGATGATCTGGCAGCTTCGAGGCGAGGTTGATCAAGTTAGGGCTGACTGCCTTCAGTGGAAAAAGAACATGGATCAGCTTGATGCTGATAAGGAAGCTGTCACAGCCCAATTGACCTCGATTGAGAGCCAACTCTAGGGCTTTAAAGTGAAAGGCCTGGCTCAGGCCAGGAAAATCGAGAAGTTAGAGGGAGAGCTTGCTAGAGCTCGGGCCCAAGCTGAGAAGACGAAGGTTGCAGCTGATAAATCCATCGCCATATATCTAAGGGATGTTTTAGCCATTCAAATTGAGCTGAGGGAGGCCTCCGACCGGGAAAAACGGAGCAATGATCTGGCCAAGTGCCAGGCCCGGAGGGAGACTCTCGAATAAATTATGCCCGGGGGTTCAATCTTGCTGAGGAGATAGCCGAAGCAAAGGCATGGGAAACCGATGCCAAGTTTCTCTTCTCCTCTGATGACGAGGACGCTGTGAGTGGTTCCGGAGACGGAGAAGGCAAATAGGGCGTCTCCTAGGAAGAGGGAGTTCCCGAAGATAAAGCTGCCAAAGGTGCAGTTCCTGAGGGTGTCGCTTCCGGGGATGTGGCCCCGAAAATAGATTAGGTTCTTTTTTCTTTTTTGTGCAAGGGCCCCTTGTGGGCGTTGTAAATATATTTTGTAAAATTCCCTTATGATTATAAAGTATCTTTTTGTTCTAACTTGTGTTGAATTTTATTTTGTTTTCATTTGTGGAAGATTTCGATAATTCAAATAATCAGCTCGAGTACCGGTTCAGACTCAGAACGTAGTAAACCCTTAGGTTTTTATTTGATCAATATAATACCTCATAGGGTTTTGTTAATCCTTGACCTAAATTTAAATAGATTTGATGTGAGCTTGGGACGTTGGAGTTCTCGTGTCTGATTTGAGTGAGAACGGAATCTCGACCTCTATATGTTTTGGCCTTTAGGCCTTTTTAAGTTGGCCCTTAGGCTCTTATACATCATCCCTTAGGCTCTTTAAGTTAGCCCTAAGGATCTTATACATCGGCCCTTAGGCTCTTTAAGTTGGGCCGTTTAGGCCTTTAAAACGGCTATAATTTTTCCCTCTTTCCGGCTAAAAAACTTAGTAAAATTTTTTTTTATGCCTTAGCATGTATTTTTTGTACCCGTTCGGATTTTTCGAATACCTCTTGAGGTTTTTCTGAAGGTTGTTGTTATGAAGCCTTTGGATTATTCGAGGGCCGAATATATCGAAGCCCTTATATATTTCGAGGGCTAAATTTATCGAAGCCCTTTATATTTTGCTTTTGCCGAGGGTAGCCTGATTTAACCGGTTTTTCAATGTTTGAAGGCCTTTAAATTATAGCGGAAGTCGAACGTCTCTAAGCCGCATTATTTTGGCCGTAGCCTTTATATGACCATAGTCTTTAGTATAGCCGTAACCTTCGGGTATGTCACTTGGACTTGTTTCCCGATAACTTTTCAAACTTGTCCAAAAAGTTAGTCCCCGAGTATATTAGTATTGGCCTTTGTTTCGAGGGGTGCCTCTTTAAGGTCTTATGAGTCCGAGTTTTCGATGACTCAGATATATTGTCTGTCGATGATAGTCCCCGAGTATTTCGGGGTGTTTTGGACCTTGAGCCGCTTCCCATAGGATTGTAAGTGTAGAGCTCGTATGATAGTAAAAAATTTTGAGACACAAATTATTTTTGAGATAACTAGAATGCTTCTTCAAATTATTGATACATGCGTACATGTTTTTGCCGTCGGGGCTCAACTATTCTATATGGACACTGTTCATTTGACCGTTTGACCCATTATAAAGTTCTCCTATCGAGTCCCTCTTAGGCGTGAAGTATTTTTCTCAAAAATATAACCTCTGAGGGTGATGCCCCCAGTATTCGAGGTTGAATGAAAAGAAGCCTTAGATATTGTTGAGTTCTCCTTAGGTAACACATAGTTATTGCCGTATTAAAAATATTGACGGTAAAACCCATTTGGGACAAAATCCGATCTAAGGAAAAAAGAGTGCAACACATACTTTTAAGCCTAAGGTCTTCGTGTAAAAAATGATGCCTTCGAGATCGTATGCCTTCGATAGCTTCGATCGAAAATCTGTAATGAGTTAGTTTTAAATTCAAATGGATAAAAAAGGATAAAGTCGTACCTTAGCAATAGTATCGTTTAAGCAATGATATGTTCCAATTGTTTGGCAGTTCTTGACCTTCCATTGTGCTAAGTTTGTAAGATCCTTTACCGACAACTTCGAGGACTCGGTACGGTCCTTTCCAATTCGGGCCTAGTTTCTCTTTATTCAGGTCTCGAGTATTGAGGGTGACTTTCCGTAGGACTAAATCCCCGATTCAAAAATGTCGAAGGTTGGTTCTTCTATTGTAGTATCTTTCGATCCTCTGCTTTTGCGCGACCATCCGAACAAGTGTTGCTTGTCGCTTTTCATCTAACAACTCTAGGCTAGCATTCACGACCTCATGGTTTGACTCCTCCGATGCATGTCGAAATGGGTTACCCACCCTCGACGGGGATGAGAACCCCGGAATTGTATACTAGAGAAAATGGGGTGGCCCCCGTGCTAGACTTCGATGTTGTCCGATATGCCCAAAGAACCTTGGGTAAACTTCTCTCCATTTTCCCTTTGTGTCGTCTAACCTTTTCTTTAGGTTTTGAATAATAGTTTTGTTTGTTGACTCGACCTGCCCATTTCCAATCAGATGGTACGGTGTTGATAAAATCCTCTTTATTTTATGTGCTTCGAAGAACTCCGTTACCTTGCTGCCGATGAATTGCTTTCCATTATCACATACAATCTCGGCAGGTATCCCAAATCGGCATAAGATGTGGTCCCAGATAAAGTCAATAACTTTCTTTTCTAGGACCTTCTCGAAGGCTTGTGCTTCCATCTACTTAGAAAAATAATCAGTCATAAATAAAATAAACTTAGCTTTACCAGGGATCATTGGTAAGGTCAAACTACGTTCTCCTGCTTCCACATCAACCAATGCCTTCCCTGTTGCAAGGAAAGGCCTTCCCAATATTATTGGCACCTCATAGTTGACTTCACAGTCGAGAATCATAAAATCCGTAGGCAAAATAAACTTGTCAACTCGGACAATAACATCATCAATAATACCAAACAGCCTCTTCATTATTCTATCCGCCATTTGCAATCTCATTGAAGTAGCTCTCAGTTGACCAATACCCAACGTTTTGAATACGGAGTAAGGCATCAAATTTATACTTGCTCCCAAATCACACAAGGCCTTTGCAAAACCCGCACTCCCAATGGTACATGGAATGGAATATGCATTGGGATTTTCAAGCTTTGTTGCCATCGAGTTCACAATGGCACTCATTTGATGACTCATTTTGATGGTCTCACAATCCATAGATCTCTTTTTAGTTACCAAGTCTTTCATAAACTTGGCGTATCCCGGCATTTGCTCAAGAGCTTCCACCAAGGGTATATTGATCGACAAACGTTTCATCATCTCAATAAACTTCTTGAGTTGGTTTTCATTCTTCTGCTTTGCAAGTTTTTGAGGGTAAGGTGGAGAAGGCCTTGGCAAAGGGGCCTTGACATTAGGCATTACTGTTTCCGGTATGTCTATCACGTGTTCCCTAGACGGGTTCACATCATTTCGAGTCTCCTTCTCATTGTCATGAATATCAATTCTCGCCTCACCATCCAACTTCTCTTCACTCACTTGCTCAATAATTATAGGATCATCTTCATTTTGCACTTCAACGTCATCACTTACAACTTCCTTTTGCTTGGAGGTACTTGCTTCACCACCTCTACCACTCCTTGTGGTCACAGCCATTGCATGGCCGGTATTGTTACCACCCTTCGGGTTTACTACCATGTCACTAGGTAGTGCCTTCTTAGGGCGAGTGTTCAAAGCTTGCGAAATCTGACCAAGTTGGACCTCTAGATTGCGGATAGAAGTATTATGGGATGCCAGTTCGGCATCAGAGTCGGCGTTCTTCTTCATCATTTGCTCAAACATAGACTCAATCCATCCCATCTCATTGTTGGACGAGCTAGGACTTTGGGACGGAAATGGAGGTAGATTGTTTGGTTGTTGAAACATTGGAGGCCTTTGAAAACCCGGCTCCCAATTACCTTGATTTCCGTTATTCCAACCTCCTTGGTTGTTGTTTCCACCCCAATTTCTATTGTTACCCCAATTCTGGTTGTTGTTCCCCCAATTGTTGGAGTTGTTGTTATTGTTCCAATTTCCTTGGCCTTGGTTGCCCAAATTCTGATTATTCCCTTGCGATCTCCATTGTTGATTTGGAGCATTACCTCGTTGTCCTTGATAGTTGTTGGCATACAAAACCTCTTCACTTTGCTCATAATACCTATCATCCTGGTTGTAACCACTACTACCTTGCTCATATTTTTCTTGATTGTCTTGCATTTGGCGGCCTCTTCTTTGAGCTTGAGGTACTAGAGACACCTCATCTTCAACATTATCATCTACCTCCTCCCCCGGGAGAACATTTCTGTAGGATTATTATTTGTCATTTTGTACCTGAATCGATTAATTCACACAAGTTAGTAAAATAGAAGGAAGGAAAAACAAGACACACAACTAGTCAGATAGATAGCCAAAACCGTTTAACTCCACGACAACAGCGCCAAAAAGTGATCGGCTCCAATCCTACACCACTATATAATGGCAAGGAGTGGTCGATGCAGCTTTTACCTGAAAGGTCAGGATCGATTTCCATAGGGAGTTAACATTGGTTGGGAGATGGGTTTCTATCTAATCTAGCTATGTGTGTTTCTTTTAATTGCACTTCTAACCATGTTTGGATTTGTTACTATTCTACTTTTAATGTTATTGTTTGCTCAAAATAAACTAAGTACAATATTTTTGTAAAGTTTTCTCAAGTGATAAAAGCACTAGGGAAGTGACTTACACCTAGGCGAGTATCTAATGGGATCTAAAATTTAGGACAAGCTTGTTATATTCGGGGTCGGGATATAACCCTTACACAAAATTACTCACTCTATACCTCTTGGTAGTTTGAGTGACTTTGCCTTAATTGGCTTTCTCAAGCCCAATTGGGTGTTCAAACAATACAAGTAAAATTGGCTCAAGTTGGGCATTACTATCTCTAGGTTTAACCCTTTAATTGGGGCTATCAATCTCTTTAATGCACTCCAATTCCTTGTTAGCCTAATTTTCCTAGACTTAGTCACTCTTTCTCAAGAAGAGTCTAAGTCATAAAGGCACAAATCAGTGTTTGCAACCACCAATTCTATAATTAAAGCATGAATCAAGCTAAATATCACTAACCCATAAATAATTAAGCCCTAAAATTGAATACTCATTAAATACCCACACTAGGGTTGGGTCACAACCCTAGCTAATGGGTTTATCTACTCATAATCAAGGTAGAAATCAAAGACAAATATGAAATATAAGCCATAAAAGTTGATTACAAGAATAAAATCTTAGAATATAAGCTAAAGCTACTCTAAAATTACTCAAAGTGGTAAAAGTACGGCTGTTCACGAGCTCCGTGATAGAAAAGATGACCTAAAAATGTGAAAAAGATCTATTTATACACAGCTAAAATTACTGGACAAAAATACCCCTACGAAGATTCCGTTGTCAGTGCAATACTGAGCGCCTCAGCGCTTGGACTTTCACGGCCGCAAAAAAGCATGCACGGACAGTGTTTCTTCTCTTTTGTGCTTAGTCTGGACTTGATTTTGCTGGGATCGTAAAATAGACCGCCTCACAATCGCTGCCACATAAAATGTTCGCGAATCGCGCTCTTTATTTGAGATCATATTGCAAGGTCTCTTATTCTTTATCTCACTCTCAGCTGAATTTGCACTGCATCTGCGTCAGGTATTCCATTGCCGCACTATTTTATCGCAGTCAGCGGTCCCTGTCTGCATCCAAAACACCTTCTTTGAACCTCAATTTTGTTGTCAGCATAATTGTGGAGGCCTCAGCGGTGGACCTTCCGCGACCCCTCCTTTCCTTCGCTATCATCACTTTTATCTCAGCTTTGAACTTGTGCAGATTTAACTCCTTTATGAGCTGGTTATGACTTTCTTGCTTCATTTTGACCAAACCCTGCAAACAAGCACAATAAGTCAACTTTCGGGATTACTTTTACACATTTTTTATCTAAAACTTAAGCAAAAGAGAGCATAAGAATGGCAAGAATCCATAGTTGATGCTAACGCTGAGGTAGTCTCTTTTACGCTCCCAGCGGAATCAAGTCCAGACCAAGCACAAAAGAGAAGAAACGTGGTCCGCACAAATCAGGCGCGGACCGCAAAAGTGCAAGCGTTGATGCGCTGACAGCGGAACCTCCATAGGGGTATTTTTGTCCAGTAATTTCAGCTGTGTATAAATAGATCGTTTTCACATTTTTAGGTCATTTTTTGTGTCAGAGAGCTCGTGAACAGCCATACTTTACCACTTTAAATAATTTTAGAGTAGCCTTAGCTTATATTCTTAGATTTTATTCTTGTAATCAACTTTTGTAGCTTATATTTCATCTTCATCGTTGATTTCTACCTTGATTATGATTAGCTAATCTCATTAGCTAGGGTTGTGACCCAACCCTAGTTTGGTTATTTAATGGGTCTTTAATTTTAGGGCTTAATTGTTTATGGGTTAGTGATATTTAGCTTGATTTATGCTTTAATTGTAGAATTAGTGGTTGCAAACATTGATTCGTGCCTTTATGACTTAAACTTCTCTTAAGAAAGAGGGATTAAGTCTAGGAAAATTAGGCTGACAAGGAATTGGGGTGCAGTCAAGAGATTGATATCCCCAATTAAAGGGTTAAACCTAGAGATAGTAATACCCGACTTGCGCCAATTTTAATTGCATTGTTTGAACACCCAATTGGGCTTGAGAAAGCCAATTAGGGCAAAGTCACTCAAAATACCGAGAGGTATAGAGTGAGTAATTTTGTATAAAGGTTATATCACGACCCCTAATATAACAAGCTTGTCCTAAATTTTAGATCCCATTAGATACTCGCCTAGGTGTAAGTCACTTCCCTAGTGCTTTTTATCACTTGAGAAATTTTACAAAAACATTGTACTTAGTTTATTTTTAGCAAACAATAGCATTAAAAGTAGAATAGTAACAAATCCAAACATGGTTAGAAGTGCAATTAAAAGCAACACGCATAGCTAGATTAGATAGAAACCCAACTCCCAACCAATATTAACTCCCTGTAGAAATCGATCCTGACCTTTCGGGTAAGAGCTGCATCGACCACTCCTTGCCATTATATAGTGGTGTTGGATTGGATCCGATCACTTTTTGGCACCGTTGCCGGGGAGTTAAACGGTTTTGGCTATCTATCTGACTATTTGTGTGTCTTGCTTTTCTTTCCTTCTGTTTTACTAACTTGTGTGAGTTAATCGATTCAGGTACAAAATGGAAAATAATGGTCCTATCGAAAATGTTCTCCCGGGGGAGGAGGTAGATGATAATGTTTAAGATGAGGTGTATCTAGTACCTCAAGCTCAAAGAAGAGGCCGCCAAATGCAAGGCAATCAAGAACAATATGAGCAAGGTAGTAGTGGTTAAAACCAGGATGATGGGTATTATGAGCAAAGTGAAGAGGTTTTGTATGCCAACAACTATCAAGGACGACGAGGTAATGCTCCAAATCAACAATGGAGATCGCAAGGGAATAATCAGAATTGGGTCAACCAAGGCCAAGGAAATTGGAACAATAACAACAAAAACTCCAACAATTGGGGGAACAACAACCAGAATTGGGGTAACAATAGCAATTGGGGTGGTAACAACAACCAAGGAGGTTGGAATAACGGAAATCAAGGTAATTGGGGGCCGGGTTTTCAAAGGCCTCCAATGTTTCAACAACCAAACAATCCACCTCTATTTCCGTCCCAAGGTCCTAGCTCGTCCAACAATGAGATGGGATGGATTGAGTCAATGTTAGAGCAAATGATGAAGAAGAACGCCGACTCCGATGCCCAACTAGCGTCCCATAATACTTCTATCCACAATCTAGAAGTCCACCTTGGTTAGATTTTGCAAGCTTTGAACACCTAAGAAGGCACTACCTAGTGACACGATAGTAAACCGGAAGGGTGGGAACAATACCGTCCATGCAATGGCTGTGAACACAAGGAGCGGTAGAGGTGGTGAAGCAAGTACCTCCAAGCAAAAGGAAGTTGTGAGTGATGATGTTGAAGTGCAAAATGAAGATGATCCTATAGTTGTTGAGCAAGTGAGTGAAGAGAAGTTGGATGTGAGGTGAGAATTTATATTCATGACAATGAGGAGGAGACTCAAAATGATGTGAACACGTCTAGGGAACACGTGATGGACATACCGGAAACGGTAATGCCTAAAGTCAAGGCCCCCTTACCAAGGCCTCTTCCACCTTACCCTCAAAGACTTGCAAAGCAGAAGAATAAAAACTAGTTCAAGAAGTTTATTGAGATGATGAAAAGTTTTTCGATCAATGTACCCTTGGTGGAAGCACTTGAGCAAATGCCGGGATATGCCAAGTTTATGAAAGACTTGGTAACTAAAAAGAGATCTATGTATTGTGTAACGACCCGACCGGTAGTTTTGAGCATTTGCACTTTGCTCGCCAGTTCTTGGGTACGACTAGCCCCGTATGATATATTATGACTTATGTAAATTGTCAGTTTTATTTTTCAGGATAATCGGAATAGATTTGGAAGAACAATTCTAAGCTTGAAGCATTAAATTTGAAAGATTTGACCAAGTTTTGACTTTTTAATATTCAACATCGGATTTGGATTTTTATGATTTGGTTAGCTCTGTTAGGTGATTTTGGACTTGGGAGTGCGTCCGGAATATATTTTGGAGGTCCATGGTTTTAAGCTCGAATTGGCGAAGTTGGAAATTTGCGTTTTTCGGTCGGCATTGGAAATCTTGATATCGGGGCCGAAATGTAATTCCGAAAATTAGAGTGGGCATGTAGTATCATTTGTGACGTGTGTGCAAATTTCAGGTGATTCGGATGAGGTTTGATA